GGTTTGCAGTAGGGGCTAGAGAAGCAGGAACCACCGGTGGCGGGACGAGCTGCTGTTCAGGCTGTACGTTTGATAGGGTGGAATGAAATGAACTGCAAGGCCGGTTGAGAGGGCGGAAGATCGACTCCTTGGCGTGCGAGTAAAGTTTCGAAGCGAGTTGGCCAGAAGGTGAGTTGCGGAGGTGAGAGTCTCCGATGTGAACTTTGCTGTGCATTCTGCTTGTTCAGAGAGTGTGTAGTTCGGCAGCTTGGCTGGGTGATGTTGAATCGAGCGGAATCGTCGCGATTGGGTCAGTTTCATTGATTCAGAGGATCCGGTGATGTTGGAGCAAACGAAGGCGGCTTGTTTGTATGGCGACTGAAAGTTTTCTTTGGTCTTTAGCGAGCATTGGAATATGCTTAGGCGTGTGCAGCATCTGGATAGAGAGGTTTTGCCGCGTTGAGGATCTGATGGTCGCGTTGCAGTCGGGGCCAGAGAAGTGGGGACCCCAGTCGATGGGGAGGGTTGCTGTTCAGGCTGCACGTTTGATAGAGTGGAGTGAAGTGAACTGCAAGGCCGGTTGAGAAGGGTGGGCACTTGCTGCTTAGCGTGCGAGTATCATTTCGAAGTGAGTTGGCCAGAAGGCGAGTTGCGAAGGTGAAACTGTCTGATTTGAATTTTGCTGCGCCCGTCACTTGTTCAGATAGTGTGTAGTTCGGCAGCTTGGCTGGGTGGTGTTGAATCGAGCGGAATCGTCGCGATTGGGTCGGTTTGATTCATTGATGGCTGCGGCTGGTGCAGGAGCGCCAGAAGGCGGCCGGTTTGTGTGACGCCTGAAAGCCTCCTGAGATCTTCAACGCGCATTGGAATATGCTTAGGCGCGTGCACCATCTGGATGGAAAAGTTTTGCCGCGTCGAGGATCTAATGCTCGCTTTTTAGTCGGGGCCAGAGAAGCGGGGACCCCAGTCGATGGGGAGGGTTGCTGTTCAGGCTGCACGTTTGATAGAGTGGACTGAAGTGAACTGCAAGGCCGGTTGAGAAGGCTGGGCATTTAGTGCTTGGCGTGCGAGTAGAGGTTTGAAGTGAGTTGGTCAGGCGGCGACTTGAGGAGGTGGGACTCTCCGATTTGAAGTTTGCTGCGCCTGG